CGGCCTAACTTTTGTCAATAAAAAATATCGATTTATATGTAACTTGGCATGCTCTATCTAATGAGCATAGTGAGATTCACCCGGCCAAAACTTTTGTATAAATGGGCGGACCTGCGTGGAAACACCCCTTTTTATACACAAAGCATGTCATCAACAAAATCTTACGAATGGAAAATGTTAGCATTTGGTCGTAGTCCACAAATAGCCGAAACAGCTGAAAAACATTTGCATTCTCTTGGTTATAAAAATGCACGAGTTATAGCACTGGAGAATAATCAAGAAAATGATCAACGTTTAATAAAATTATTGAAGGAAGAAGAATGGGATGGCGTTTCAATTGGTATGTACATTAAAAGATTTTTCTCACTTTTTTTGAATTGTAATAGTTTTGAGTTCTCAGGTGGTGTCATTAATGGTCACCGCAAAGATATTCCACAAGAAGAAGAAACATTTCATTTCTTTAATCATTTATTAAACTTAATTCACGAAAATGCATCATCGAAAACAAAAATTGTACTTATAGGCAATCCATCGGATATAGAATCAAGCTATAAACGTGTTTTAGGAGGAGATGAAAAAAACAACATTGACTGAAAGATTTTTGAAGTTTTTTGTTTAAAGTGAATTTAACCCGGCAAAGTTCATTTAGTTCTGATAAAAATTATGAAAAGTTTGAAGAGATGGAACAATAAACAGCTTGAAACATTGAAAAAACTAGAAAGAGTAATACAAACAACCTCCTACTATCGTACACCGCAATCTTCTTTTTCTGTTGACAGTAACTCGGTAACGAAAAACGTTTTTGACAAGTGGTTTGCACCAAAATATTGTCCTATCTCTCTAGTATATTTACAAATCAAAAAAGGTCACTAATATTTAGTGTTGCACTTTGTGGACCCATTAGACAGACAAGTGCACTTTTTCAGGTTAAATTTTCCGTACAGTTGATAAAATCTTTTTTTACGTTATAAAATGGGACTTAGGAGGCCAGATACTAGACGTAGTTTATAAATCCCTCATCTTGCTCATTCTAAATTATGGCAGCCATATATACTCGTTAACAACTGAAAACAATCTAAATAAATCGCATTCTCGTCAATATCAAATAGCCATTCATGTAAGCGGAGCGACACGTTTTGGATCTTAGGGCTATGTTTAAAATATGTTTTCTGTACGGGAGGGTAAACATTTTTTGAATATCTTTGCGTCATCATGTGGTCGAGCAGTTACTGTATAGGGGTATGAAAAGACAAATTTTGACTGTTCAAGGTCAGAGGGAAAACGGGTTTCTGAACATTAAAACAGCTTTCCACCCATAAAAGCATTTGCGATAAAAAACTAACATCGTATTCGTGCTTAGTGTCAAAAATTCAATTTAGTGGTGGGTCACTCGAAGTCTAACAAACACTTTAACGATAACGCATGGAAGCCTTTCACCCACTAAACACGTGAACTATAGAAAAATTTTGCGTATGAAAACGTTTTGGTAAACTTCGAGTAACACATGACTGAACTCATTTTTTGAGCCTGAGCACGAATATGATGTTAGTTTGTGTGGAAAATGTTTTTAATGGGTGGAAAGCCGATTTTAATGTTCAGAAATCCGTTTTACCTCTGAACTTAACCAGTCAAAATTTCCCTTTTCATACCCCTATATAGTAACTACTGGACCACATGATAACGCAATGATATCCAAAAAATGTTTACCCTCAGTCGCTGCCGTCATTTAGAATGAGTAAGATGAGAGACTTATAAACTACGTCTAGTACCTGTCCTCCTAAGTCCCATTTTAACAATCTAATATAGTTGTGGATTCGACTTTAACTATATTAACATGACTTTAGTAATCAGGGATACATTATTTGTAGTAACAACATGTAAACAGGTGTCTGATGTTATGCGAGTTGATGTGCAAACCAGTTGTGTAACCGTTATAATTAACGTATTAATACCTACTCTCGTGGAAACCTTACTAGAAGCATATTAATCAGTGCCCTGGGCGTTAATATCTCCGAACATGATGATCGAATCAAACATTTGTTTTTTACCTATGAAAGCGGCGAATATCTGGTCTAGGTATTCAGCCAAATCATCAATATTGTAATTATCCGGATGATAGCATAATACTAACAACAGTTTTACCCTGTGGGATGTCGTTAAGGCAAAAACATAATCTCGAAACTGTCGTCTACTAGCTCCGAAATATCTACATCATTTCGAGCATATAGAAAACATCCGTCCTCTTGGCGGTTTCGGTGGTTTATAAACGAAATTTGATAATTCGGCAAGTGAGTCTATTTGCTGTCAGTCGAGGGATATATCAGGATTCGACTGTGCCTATAAGTGCTGGATTCGAAATCGAAGCGTGTACACATAATACATCATATTTTGTAACTGAACTTTGTACTGTAGGTTCGGCTAATGACATAATACTACGAACATTAAATAAGAATACAAACAGTTTCCTACACACTCCTGCTTGATTTACGTTATTTGACCTTATCCTGGTAGAAAATAAAGATGATGTTAGAAGGTCTTATCTCATCGTCTGACCAAATTTCAGGATTTAAGAACACATTTCTAATACGGAACACATAGTCTAGATAATTCAATTTCAGGTTTGTATAGTCGTAGAAGTCTATGTCAGTCATAACGAAAGAAAAGAAACGCGATATATACACTGTATATCGATAGAAAGTAAAACACTCACAAGCATGGGTGCATCTGACTAGTCAAGCAACACGTTTACTAAAACAAAACACTTGTTATACATATCCAGGTCCACCTCCATTATGAGATTTGATCGAGATATAAGGATTTTAATTTTTGCTAGTAACAGGCGAAAAACCGGTTTTTCACAAATATGCCTCTGGCGAAGTTATTTTCATTTTAACACAGAAAAAAATGTTGCCACTATGCTCAGTGCAGTCGATTATCTATGGCATTTCGAGATCCCCAGAGATGTCTGCTCGGAGACAGACACGCGGTCGGGGAAGCGAGTTCTGTCCGAACGACAATAGCCGGAGAGCTGGAACTTGCATAATTTTGTAGAGTAATGTTCGGACTACCTACGCATGCAAAAAAATGGCTAACTTTCGAGGTTAGTTTTCTAAGAATGGAGCTGATTTTCCAAAGATCCTCTGGAAAACCGGACTTTCAAGAAAAGTTGAAAAATGTTTCTGTCAACAAAAACATGTCTTAGGATCTTAGCAATACGATGGTGAAAATCGCAGGTCGCTATCTCATCTCTATCAAAAGTTATTTACAAGCAACCAAGTGCACGGTGTTTTGGAATGAATAGTAGCTTCGTCATCATGACTAATCTTATTGGCCTACTTCTTGTTATAATTCATAACATAGAGACACAATAGCTGTTTTCGTTTGTCTAATTGTTAGACAAATGGATTGATTTTCGATTTCCGTAAACCAGTCCATCATCAGCTTTCGAGTATAAAAGTCTTAAGCAACACATAAGAAGCTTCAATAGAAGAAGCTAAACCTTTGCTATAGCGCCTGACGAAAGAAGCTAGCGTAAGTGGCTGACCAACGCTCACCAACTTTTGGTTAAGTTTTAATTAGAGACCGAGTTCCCGACTCGAAACTTCTGAAATCAGTACTTATATAATACAAGTCGATAGGTTATGTGTAGATTTTTTTCTCGAAAATCAAGAGAAATCATTAGTTTTTCTCTTTGACGCCCTTCAGATATTTCGTCATTGACTTTAGAAGCGGCGAGCAATGAAAGCTGCCCAGGTCCATGGTATCAAGTATGTGAGCTCTAAGTTCAGGCGTAAGGCACACAACAGGCCACATTATATTCGAATATAGCGAAATACTATGCAACTTGCATGGCATTTCGTAATTTTTATTTCTTTTCTTCCTTTCGCTATCTATCAATCAATACTCGTGTTTAACGACTACACGACGGTCCATCACTAATTTTACAAATATAAAATCAAAATATTACCAGGAACAGGAAAACGCAAAAAGTACGTGTTGATATTCATCATTGTATATGAATTCTCTCCTTTTGTTTTTTCCTCTATTTCAGGTGTACTAAAATATTTTATGTATGATAAAGCAGCAACAAACTTAGAAAACGACTTTATTAAATCAATCAAAGTAAACATTTGTTGATCTATTGATTTAAGTTCCTAATGTCGCCTTGTAGAATATTTCTTAGACGAAAAAAATGACTTACTAGCATCCGAGATATTACATAACCTTGAGCAATTGACTAAGCTCTTTCTTTGTCCGATTAAAGATTAAAATAATTTGGAGATAATATAATATATCATTCCTTTTTAGGATCAAGATATATAATAAAAACAACGAAAAAAATGTTTTAAGTATGTCACAATTCTCATTTAGTTGGATATGTATTATTCACTTCTTCATATTGTAATTGGATAAATCATTCAGATAGTTATAGGTGGACAGAGCCTATATTCAAGAATCAGTAGCACACAAAACAGATGTTTTATCAGTGAAATGTATCTTGCAATATTAAATTGTGTTTATTTCCATTTCAATCTATATTATTTTATAAAATTTCTTATTTTACTAAAATAATAACGAAGTTCATTCTCTTTTTCAATAAACCATACTACAATTTTGAACAACGCTTAATATTGACTGTGCATTTTTTTTTGTTTGCTATTTTGTTCAAATTCATATTTTCTTTTTGGTAATAATAAATAGTTTAGTGACTGTTTCTTCATATAAAAGAAATAACGTTAACGATCTACTTGCTGACTAGTTACAAAACATACGAAATGATAAATTTTCTTTTTAATATTTTGACAAATATTGTCTCGACGTAAAAAAGCTTTGTTTTGACAGATCTTAGTAAAAAGACAAATGTTAGAAAACTATTAAGCAAAAATGAAATGATAACCTACTGAAACGTCTTGCACCCAAGATCTTGAGTGGAGTAAGCCAAGATGTTTCAAGATCTTGGGTTCTTGAATCCGCCACTCCAAGTTGATACGACACAATATTACAACTGACTACATTGAACTTTGTGGTACCATCAAACGATCAAAAAATGAATACATCAACATGGGTTAATCTATTACATTCAATGGCATGGGATTCATATGATCATTTTAAAAATTGGGTTCATTCAACACGTTTATTAGATTTTTCTCGTTTTTTACCACCAATATTTTGCACCTGCAATTCAGTATCGTGGAGCCGTAAAAGTACATTTACCATACGGACAATATTGTATTACTCAAGAAATGGCAAAATCTATGAATAAGTATTACAAAAAGCGAAGACATGATCTACCAACTATTAAA